TTTTGCAGAGAAGGAACTGGCTGAAATAACTACTATACTGTAATTATTATATTTTTATCATGTGTGTGTGTCTGTGTATATATCCATGTTAAACGTTTGGGGGAAAAAAGCATTCAAATCTAGAGAGCCAAACTAGCATCTAAATTGCAATGGTGATGTGTCGGAACCAGCTGGTTTTAAAGACTGGTAGTTTGGCTATATCCATATTCTTGCTTCCCAACAGGACAATAAGAGCTTTGCAGGGTTATAGAGACTGAACAATTAAGCAAGGATTGGTTGTCGGGGAATTAGAACAATGGCAAGGTGTTCCAATTCTCCTTCCCCAACCCCTCCAATCCAAATAATCCCAAGAGTGATTTATAAAAGAATAAGGTGGCCAAAGTTCCAAACATGTGCTCAATTCATTTATGCTATTTGAATCAAGCCAACTGAAAACTTTCAGTTTTAAAAGAATGAAAAGAACTTAATAATAAAACATAATGTCAATGCAGAAAAAAAAAATTTTTTAAATCTTTCTACTGTTATTGAATGAAGGAATCTATGGTTGGAGCTAGAAAATGTCTCATCTGTGGTGGAAGGAATTGGTTTATGGAATGATAGTGCTCAGTTCCACTTTCAGCCCAGACTGTTTATGTAAAGGTCAATTTGTTCAGCTGCATATTAAAAACATATCCTTTTAATAAAACAATTTCCTCATAATACAAATATGCCATTATCTCTCTGAACTCATGTTCTCCCACCTTCTCTTTAATAGCATTTGTGTTGCATAGCTCAGTGATAAAACACTCCAAGTATAATCTTTAGCCTGAAGGCTGATCTGTTCAATTCAAAATGGTAAATTATATAAGGCTATCAAATTATTTTGAAATAGGTAATTATTCTAATGTCCCAGCTGTGGAAGTTACTAAGGAAGATTGGACATTTCTAGGCAAGATCATTGATCCCAGTTCTCTAAGTCTATTAACAATTCCCACTTCAGCCTGTGAATTAGTGTAGGGTTTACAAGGAAGTGCCCAGAAAAGCAGGGATGAGTGGCCAAAAAAAGAGGACAAGTTATTTTATATCTATAGGAACAAATACTGTATAACATAGAAATTCAATAGATCTCATCAAAATAGAGAAGATAAATCAATGTGTTTGCTGTTCAAGTGCTCACTACTGATAGCAACTTTACCTTCTTTTCCTTTCCCTTATGGCTTTTTTCCTTCAACAAGATGTGGAGTGGAAAAGAGAAGACACTTCTAACAGAGGAATGTCCTTTGACAGCCTCCAAGGGGCAAAGGCTGTAAAGAGGAATAAATGGCTATACTATCACAAGCATGGAGCTGAATCAAAACAAGCTTTCTTGCATAAATCTAAGTTATTCAGATATTCATTTGATCAAAATCCAAATACAAGCAATCTCAAAGCTGCAGTGATGTTATTAGAGCACTCCCTGTATGCTAAGAGAGAACTCATTCTCCAAAATGTCAGAAGAATACCATTCACATATATGAGGAGGTATTGCTAGTAAATTTGCAAGGAAAAAAGCTTTTAAAATCACAAAGAATCTTTAGCTCATGTCTTTGGCTGTAAAATGATGATGTCTTTGTATAACAAAATAATCAGGAGAGTATCTGCTAACTGGGTAGCAGTATTCCATAATGCAGCATTCTGTTGCAGAACAAGGTTCAGCAAGTGGTATTGGCAATCTAAAATATTTTTTAAAAGAAATCCAGTTCACTTTAGACTGCACCAGTAGAGTCAACAGTAGGGGGAAAAAACCGTCTTTATGGTACATTCATTCTAAATTCTGCTCTCCTAAAACAGATAGAACTTACAAACAAACCAGTTGTGGACTGAAATGAATGCCTTTGATTTTTTTTAGTTTAATAATAATTTCAAGTACAATAGATTTAGTGGTTAAAGAACATTATGCTAGAATGAATTATAAAAAATGGACTCTACATTTAATTGAATACTAACAGTAGATCAGTTTCCAGCTTTTTATATCATTTTGAAATGTTTCCACAAACTTTAATACTTTAACTCCTATTGCTTTGTCTTTTACATTCATTGTGATATAAACATTAACACAGAGGAATTTACTGAACACAGCATAACTGACAGGAATTTGCATGGCAAACTAAAATGTTGCTGTTTGTTTAAGGCATTAGGAAAGGGACAATCAGATACTAAAGCTAATAATCCTTTTGCACATGAGCCAAGAAATTAAACGCACAAGAAATTTTTAGAAAAAAAGATAAACCGTATTATAATGGATAGTGGAACTGTTTGCCACTAGACAAGAACTTATATTTGC